CCACGCACCAGTGACGGCAGAGACGCACGGGCTCAGCAGGGATTTTGCCGCATTCAGGATGAGTTATAACAGGATCTCCGAGGTTAGAGAGACAAGGGAGAGAGAGAAAGGAGACGGTTACCCCACTCCACAGAACTTATCTTAGACTTTACTGTGCTTACTGTAACCACTGTAAAAATAAGAGGTTTAGAAGCTGCCAGCGAGTCAGGACTGGCCAAAATATGTGGCTCTGTGTCCTTGTGATTTCATGTCCCCGCCCCCCCCCCCGTTGGCTTGATTCTGCCCAAACCTGCAGTGGTGAAGAAAGAAAGCGCCATGATTTAAGAGGTCCTTGCAGCGAGCCGCTGGGGGTTTATGTAACTCAGCTCTGCTCGCTCGTCTTGCTCCAGAACAGAGCGAGGAGGGGCTGGGTTGGCCTTCAAAATGGCCTTGGTGGGGGGGGGTGGGGGGGACCCTGAGGCAGGGAAGGCGGTCCAGCAGGGTGCTGTTTCAGGGCCCACCTGCTGGGGACTTGCAATGACCACTCGATGGGGGTGTCCTGACCGGCCACCTCACCACCCCTCCAGCTCCCGAAGCTTCAGGCTCCAGGTGGGGGAGTCCCCAGCCTCTTCTCCCTCATAGGTGGACAGGCCAGCACATGCCTGGAGGGGGAGGGAGAGTGCAGGGGGTGGACAGGTGTGAAAAGAGTGCTTGGAGCTTAGGGGACTCTGAATTCAGTGCTCTGAGTCTGTGGGTGCCGTTTTATGGGCATGATGTCTGCCTTCATGGATCCCTGGCCACCAGCATGACATCATCTTGGGCGAGCTTGTTAGAAATTCATATTTTCCCGGGCCCCAGGCAAGACTTACTGACTCCAACTCTGCAATTTTTTTTAATTAATATTTTTACTTAAAAAAAATAACTATTGAAGTAACGCATGCAGTCAAGTAACCCTATGTTAAGACTCCGCCACGTGAAATCAAAGAGAATGAAATCTTGCCGTTTGCAACAACGCGGATGGAACTGGAAGGTATTCTGCTCAGAGAAATTAGCCAGAGGCAGACAAATATCATATGACTTCATTCATGTGTGGAATTTAAGATACGAAACAGACGAACAGAATGGAAAGGAAGCAAAAATAACATAAAAACAGGGAGGGGGACAAAGCATAAGAGACTCTTAAATGCAGAGAACCAACTGAGGGTTGCTGGAGGGGTCGTGGGTGGAGGGATGGGCCAAATGGGTAAGGAGCATTAAGCAGGGCATTTGTTGGGATGAGCACTGGGTTTTACGTGTAAGGGATGAATCCTTGGATTCTACTCCTGAAATCGTTATCACACCACATGCTAACTAACTTGGAGGTAAATTAAAAAAAGAAAAAGAAAACAAGACTCTGCCACTTGAATACACCCGTGTAGCCACCACCGCCTTCAAGATGCAGGACATTTCTGGCACCGCGAAGTCGCCCTCCTATCCCTCCCAGATGAGAGTCCCCTCCAGGGACAGCCGCTCTTCTCCCTCCCGTCATCTAGAGACGCTTGCCTGTGTCTGAGCTCCTTTGAGTCGGCTTTCTTCCTCTCAACACTATGTATGTGGGATTCATTCACATTGTTGCTTATACTAATAGCTGAATTTTCCCCGTTGTGATGCAGCGTCCTATAGTACGAATATACTACAGCTTATCTACAACGAATGGATAAGTTGTAGTATACAGATATATTTTAGTATTTTTGTCTTTTATTTTTTTCTGTGCTTTTTAAAAAGTATTTCTGTCTTTTATTTACTTATTAATGTTTATTTTTTTTTGAGAGAGAGAGAGAGAGAGAGAGAGAGCGCGCGGGGGAGGGGCAGAGAGAGAGGGAGACGCAGAATCCGAAACAGGCTCCAGGCTCCAAGCTGTCAGCACAGACCCTGACTCGCGGCCCGAACTCACGGACTTTGAGATCGTGACCTGAGCCGCAGGCAGACGCTTAACCGACTGAGCCACCCAGGCGCCCTTACTCGTTCTACTCTTGATGGCATCCGGCCTGTTTTCAGGTTTTGGCTGTTCTACCAAAGCTGCTAAGAACATTCCTATGAGTGTCTCTCGTGAATCGCCGGGTCGTCGCGTTTACGCTTACTTAATGTTGGGAGATTAGTGCCAAACACTTCTCCAAGGTAGTTGTGCTGTTTGCACTCTGGGCAGCAGTGAATGGCGGGTCAGTTGCTCTGCACCCTTGTCCACACTTGGTGGCGTCAGACCTTTTCATTTTGGCCGTTCCCATTTTGGCCATTTGTGTGGCCCCGTCCCTCCGTGGCTTTGCTTTGCGTCGCTCTGTTGCCTAAACATGTTAGGAACATTTTCATGTGCTTATTGGCCCGTTTGGGTTTCGTCTTTGGTAACGGGGCCGATCTTTGATTGAAAATTGGGGGTCTCTTCCCCTCTTGATTTCTAGGGACATGTGGTTATTAGCAACCCCTCCGGGTGACTTAAGCACCCCACCTCTCCGAAGGTCCGGTCTTCTCGCGTCTCTCTTTCCCTTTCTTCAGTCCCCAGGCCAGCAGCTCACTTCCTGCCTCGAATCCTCCTGGGATGCAGGTTGCAGACACAGCGCGGTCTCCTCCACCTTCTCTTAACTGCGCGTGGCAGGGATGGGCCTCTCGGATTGACCGTGGCTGTGTCACCGAGGTCTGGCTGGGTGCCGTGCTTGCGGTCTGGAGATGTGAGGAGTACGGCGAAGCCACCTCCTTGCCTTTTTCAGCAGGATTTTGTTAGCGCCACGAGCTGGTCAGGGACGTGCGGCCTGGTGGGGAAAGATGGCAGGAGACAGAAGGGTTTTGGACCTTCCTTTGTTGGCCTTGCTTCTAGCCCTCCGTTTCCCAGGGCTTGGGTAGCCGGGCGTCTCCTCTGTCTTCTCCAACCCCCGTGCCTTCCTTCTCGGCCACAAGCCCACGAGGAGGAGGACGTGTGTTCCAGACGTGTCTGCCTGTGTGTGGGAGAGGCGTGTGTGGGTGTGACCTGCTCTGGGTCACCGGGGAGCGGCCGCCCCACCCTCAACACCTTCTCAGTACGAATGCTTCCCATGTTTCTGCCACCCCATGAGCCAGAGGAGGGGACATCAAGGTGTGACAGCGTCCAGGAGGGATGGTGTCTCGGGGGGAGAGTCTGCTGGCGTGTTTCCCAGCTGGAGCATCCTGGAAAGAGCACGTCTTTCCTTTGCACCTTTTTGACAAGGAGAGTTCCCGCCTGCCTGTCCTTCCCTGTGGGAACCGTGCTGCTCAGAGGCCCAGTGTGGCAGGAAGGGGTGAGCGGC